CCAAAACATGATTGGGAGGAAAATTTTGTTTGAAGTGTCCAAGAAAAAAAAGTCGGTCTCAGTAATAATTTTGATCCTCAAGATTTTAAAACAGGATTCTGTCACATAGTCAAGGATTAGCAGCGAACACTTATAGCTTCCGCACTCCCCAAGAATGGCCTAGACCCCTTTCTTCAAAGTTTTGCCACTCAAACAAATAATGAAAAGTCTTCACTCATGTATGTTTTACCAGCAAATCCCTAGACTAATAAGAGCAAAGCATCTATTCCAGTTGGGGAATTGAGTAATCTATAGGTGAGGGTACAATTCGAGACAAGTTTCAACAAGTGTAGCTGTCTATGCTTGCATCGATATTTAGAGGAGAGCAAACTTCTAATGCAAGGCATCTTAAAAAAGAATTTTAAAAAAAGAAAAAGAAAACATTGTGGCGTCTCAAAAGGAAACTTGTAAAATCCAGCTTTGCTATTAGAGAGGCAATATTAATTTGAACCTCTTTCAGACCAGTTCACAGGCTTCATTGCCAGAAAAAAGACCATTCTAATTTGGAGGCAAAAATATTTTCACCACGAACTGTTCTCTTGCAACATCTTTCTTTCCAGAGAAAATATGTCAGTGAGTTAAAAATCAAACGCCAAAGCTCACAGTTTGCTTCAATCTTCTTATCAGTCAACACAAAGCAAACACTAGGCTGGTACAAGCTAGCTGGGGCAGGAGTTGGACATTAAAAGTTTATCGTTTACGGCATTTTGGAAGGTATATTGTTCCGTGATTGGTTTCATTAAAATCTTAATTTAAATAGATATTATAGTCACTTCATCTCCCAGAATTTACATGAATTACCCCCCCCCCCCTAAAATTATTGAACAGCTATGGTCGTCTTAAATCAGAGTGTAACTGGACAATGAAAACTATTCCAAAAGAACGTTAAGCGCTGTTTGCTACCTGGCTGTCCACCTCTAAAACTGCTAATGCCACAGCAAGAATCATACTCTGTCAACCAAGAAGATTTTCAGAATCTGCCAGAGACTTTGTGATCATCATATATTTAAAATCGGAACAGAAAACTCTCGTTCGTGCCACATTATATTAAATTAGATGAGAATACAGCAAAGAAATCTAGATACTGAAACATGATTTTACTGGCATGCCATAAAGCTATCCTGATTCTGATCGGACACAATCAGATTTGAAAATCGAGTTTCAGTGAAGCAGACCAAGTTCGTAACCAACTGCACCAAAGCTGCCGACTTCTGAGGACAAGATGACGGATTTGACAAGCTAAATGGGCCAGGCAGGATTTACGCCACTCTATGGAGTAATTAAATTAACTCTCCGATAAAGAAAATCCACAGAGAACCTTGTGTGAAGCGAAGAGGTGCCAGTTGTAAGACTGTCGCTGGCTAAGAATACCATTTTTTAAGTGCAAGTCATCTTGGGACTAACGGAAATCGTCTTGAACAATTTTAACTAGAGTAAAACACATGCATTACTGTAATAAATCAGACACACTAATGACGATTTTCTTTGTGTTCACATATAAGAAAAACAAAAAGGCCAATAGTAGGAATCTTACAGTGAAGGACTTAATTTATTTCTCTTTCATAGTATCAAGTTTGGCAAGTATCACACGGCTGAATCTTGTACCAAAAGTGATCCCCGACTAAGAAAAGGGGAACATGTGCGCATTCCGTAAACATTTTAAAGTAGCTTCAAGATTGTTAAGAAGAGAATGGATTTCCTTCCTTATAGGAGACGGATAATTGTTTGTGGCAATGAATAATGCAGCCGTTTCTTTTTTTAAAAAGATATATCTTTTAATAGAAAACCTCAATCTTTTTACCTAATACCAGGTAGAAACTGATCGGTCAAGAGTTACACTTACGGAGATCATTCTTGTCATACTTTACAACTTCTTCAACTATGATATAACCTTGATGCACTTCATGCTGATATCTCCCTAATTGTTTCCGTTAGAATGTGCAGAAACTAGCATCATCCTCTTCAGGCCAACAATCTAGTTGGGTGTTTTTTTTTTGTCGAATTAGTGAAGCAAGGGCATTGCGCTTTGGAACATCAATTACTTCTAACGAATAAGTTGGGGGGTTTTTTGGTTGAAAGGGAAACAATTCCCTATTCTGAGTTTTGATTTTCAAGAAAAGACATAATGACTTTTCTCTATTCACTGTTTTGGATTACATACAGTACCCCCGGGAATTAAGTATTTAAAGTAAAGCCACAAAAGAGAAGAAAGTACTGACTTTGCATATGGAAGTTTCTATAAATCCTGATACACCTACACCACTCAGCGATTTACTCTATTGAGCAATAAGCGAAAACAGAGCAGAAATCCAAGAAAATTTGAATTTGTAGAGCAAGAAACAAAACAAAGGGGGGGGGGGGGACAAAATTAATTATCATTCTGAGGAAGCTAGAGCAACTCTACAACTTTCAAATATCTTAACGTAGGGCAAAAAGTATGCCACCGAGCAAATATCTTAGGCTGTGAATCGGACAGGTTTTAAAAAAGCGATTTTCACCTACATCACATGTTTTCGAAATTTCTTGAAAAAGCAGCTTATATACTAGAAAAAAATGACGCTGAACTGTCAACACAATGCTCTCTTTCACCAAAACAAAAATAAAGTAAACAAATCTCTTTTTAAAAAAACAACGGAGGTAAATACAAGTAAATCGAACAAAGGCCAAAAAGAAGAATAACAGAGCCATAATAACATGTTCCACAAATTTCTTCTGAAAATTTCATACGATGAAAATAAGTCATGGCCTTTTAGAAAAAGGCAAGTCTACCTAGCAGTAGTCGGAGTATTTCTGGAAAAGAAACGAGACACAAAGTTCAACAATTTACACCAGATTGCTAAGACAAAGGTCAGTTCTGACAGAAACACTACATGTATTCCATTTTGCGTTTTCATCACAGACAAATACAAACTCTCTAATATGAATCAGTAATATAAATGATGTGATGGAACATAAACTAATATTGAATATTTTTCTTTTGTCTCTTGCCTTAGGTCATGGTCATTGTCAGTTGGACTCGTAACTGTGACAACCAACATACATGTGTACAGAAACATTGATTTAAAATTCATAAATCTGAATTCAAACGGTCGACTTTAGCACTCTTTAAATCAGGATTTATAAAACTTCATAAACAGAACATTTGGCACTCCCGTTGGGCTCAGAGTGAGGAGGAAAAACTTCTCAGCTAGGCAGAGAAACTTTACCTCACTCGGATTCGAACTGCGAGCCTCGATGGACTAACCAAAAATTACCACCAATTGCGCCGCGGAAATGTGTAGGTATTTGTATACAACAATGAATAAATGACTTCATCTTGAATGGCGTGTCCCATTTGGCACAGGAACAGACAGGGAACGCGCCACTTATTACCCTTTCTCAAAACATGATAACAGATAACTAGTGCATGTACATTATTTTGTGACAATAAATATTTCTACTTAAATCTATTTGGTCAGCTTCGCCTTCGGTTACATACCAGCGTCATAAATAACACAGGTACCTCTCTTTTAAATGCTGAGAATGGCCTGTTTCGTCTAGGCCGAGACAAGAAAATCAACCCATCCACACACCTTGTTTTCTCATAATATGGTAAATATGTTTTAATTAATCAGTCTCACAACATTCGCGTTACATCTAATTAGGACCTTCTTTCTTCAACAGACAATGATCTACGTGTATAAAATGGCATCTAATGTCCCCTCCAAAACAAGCTAACAAACAAATAAACACACAAATTACCCTCACAAAAAGAACAATAAAAATGAACAAACAGACAAACAAACAAACAAAACAAACAAACAAACAAACAAAACCCCCAAATACAGAAAAGCCATGAAACCCACTGGGTACAAAAATAAACCTATCTTAGGTGGAAAAAGTAAAAAGATAGGCAAGTCTAGGTGGGAATGTATTGGACACTGCTGCCCGTAGAAGAAAGTTAAAAGTTGAATTTACACTTTTCTAATAACTGGAAGACGTCATCCTTAAAACTGTCTTTTACGGGTAATCATACTGTATAATTCTGGCTTACGTGTAGATATCTACCTTTGAGTATTCTGTGGAGATTCAGAGCCCAGGATCGTAAAGCTGTTCACGGTGTATAATGTTAACTGTCAGTTTACTTTTAATACGTGAGGGCGCACGTACCACATAACTTTACTAGAGAGGAAACTATAATTGTGTCGTTTGTTTGACCCCAGAATCACTCACTGAAAGTATTGTACAAAAATACATGTTCACCCATATCTGGGATTGCAGGGATCATCACCAAACGGCAGCACAAGTATACACACAAACCAGACACGATAAACAAGGTGAAACAACCATAAACCTGACAAATAATTTATTTAAGCCTAATGGCATTAATGACACAAAAATTCACCTATAAAGTCTTTTAAAAAAGATTTCTCGCAACTTAGCTCAAGATTCAGATCCTTGTTAAGTTATCCAAAAGTTACAACCCC